GACGTAACAGGATCATAATGATTTTGAGACTTAAATGAAATAATACCTATAAAGGCTTACATGTATTGAGCGCTCCACAAATGTTACTTAAACTTTTATCAGTGTTAATACTCCTCATACCCACACCCTTGAAAATCAATGTGTAGACATAAGAACCACATTACTACCACATAAGATAAAGGACAGTGCAACATCCAAAGTGATGGGCTGATGACCAGCATCATCTCTGCACATCAGCAAAGAAAACCATCAACTCTGAGAACTGCAGAGGCTCTGTAATCCAACCCCATGTGACAGCTGAGGCGGAAGAGACCCAGAAAGGGGCTCAGCTACCTGGTGAAAGCAAGTGATTACTTTCTCAGGGCTCTGACCCCTAGCCTGCCAACCTTGGGGCCTTAGCACATTGCCTATCCCCGATGTGGACATATAGTTATCACCCCATTACAGTACAGAACGTTTTATTTCAGATCAGCATCGTGTTCATGTGATGTGAATTGTTCTCAGGGAGGCCTTATAGAGAGAGTTAAAAATAGGAAAAAAGCAATGTCCCATCATTCTTAACGGTGAAAGCTAACATTATACTCAATTGATGAAAAAGTACATTTTTCTCCTAAGATCAAAAACAAGACAAAGAAGTCCATTCTCACCACTTCTATTCAGCATTATACAGGAGATTCAAATCAGGGCAACTAAGGAGAGAGAGAGAGAGACAGCATCCAGATTGGAAAAGAAGAAGTAAAACTATATCATAGATGACATGATCTTGAAGATAGAAAATCCTAAGGAATCCATTGAAAACTATTAGAACCGATAAATGAGTTCAGAAAAGGGGTGGAATATAAGATCAATATGCAAAAATTCAATCATATTTCTACATACTAGCAATGAACAATCCAAAAATAAAATTTTAAAAGAATTACATTTGTAATAGCATCCAAAAGAATAAAATAATTTTTTTTAATTTTTATTGTTTGTTTGTTTTTTCTTTTTTATTTCAGCATATTATGAGGGTACGAATATTCAGGTTATGTATATTGCCCTTGCCCCACCCGAGTCAGAGTTTCAAGCATGTCCAATAATTTTAACGAAATATGTGTAAAATGTGTAAATGGAAAGCTATAAAACACTGCTGAAAAAAATAAAGAAGATCTAAATAAATGGAAAGATATCCCATGTTCACAGATTAAAAGACTTACTACCATTAAGATGGTAATACTTCCCAAATTAATCTACAAATTCAACCCAACCCTTATCAAAATCCCAGCTTGCTTTTATTGTAGAAATTGACAAGCTGGTCATAAAATTAATATGGAAATGCATCCCGATTTGTCAAAACAATTTTGAAAAAGAAAAGTATAAATTCAAAGGATTCATACTTCCCAATTTCAAAATTTACTGCACAGACACAGTAATCAAGACAGTGTGGTTCAGCATAAGAACAGACAAACAGATCAACAGAATAGAATTGATGTCCAGAAATAGACTCTTATATTTATGGTCAATTCATTTTTGATAAGGGTGTCAGGATAGTCTTTTCAACAAATGGTGCTGGGACAAGTGAATGTCCACATATATAAAAATAAATTTGGACCCCCTTCCTTACATAACAAAGTTTAACTCTGAATGGATCAGAGATCTAACTGTGTTAAAATTTTAAATAATTAGAAGAAAACCTAGAAGTAAATCTTAATGACATTGGATTAGGCAATGATTTCTTAGATATGACACAAAAGCAAAAAGGACAAGAGAAAACTAGATAAATTCAACGATTTCAAAATTTAAAACTTTTGTGCTTCAAATGATATCAATAAGGTGAAAAGACAATCTGCAGAATTGGAGAAGATATTTATAGGTCATATTATCTGATAAGAGATTAGTATCCAAAAAATATAAAGAACTCTTACAATCTGATAATAAAAAGCCAATTAACCCAATTTTTAAAGTGGGCAAATGATTTTAATAAACATTTTTTTCAAAGAAGACCTACAATTGGCTAATAAGCACATGAAAAGATGCTCAACATCATTAGCTTTTAGAAAAGTGCAAATGAAAACCACAGTGAAATGCCATCTCACACCACAGGATGGATAAAATGAAAAAGACAGATAATAAGTGTTGGTAAGGATGGATGGAATGTGAAATTATTCGGCCATTATGGAAAATAGTACAGGGAAGTTCTTTACATGTTAAACAGAGTTACCATGTGACCCAGCATTCTACACCCAAGAATAGTATATACCCAAAGAAACAAAAACATACAGCAAAAAAACCACACCTGTACACAAATTTTCACAGCAGCATTATTCATAATAGTCAAAAATTGGAGACTGCCCAAATGTACATAGACTGATACATGGATAAATAAAATGAGCAAGATCCTTAAAATAGAATATTACTTGGCAATAAAAAGTACGGCTATGTGCTACAACACAGATGAATCTTGAGAAGATGTTGCTAAGTGAAAGAAGCTAAAGACCACACGTTAGACACACGACTCCACTTACATGAAAGTCCACAACAGGCCAGTCTATAGAGACAGGAAGTGGCAACTACTGGGTACAGGATTTCTTTTAGAGATAATAAGAATGTTTTAAACTTAAATTGTGGGGAAAATTGCAGATATCTGTGAATACACAAAAAGCCACTGAATTATATACTTTAAATGGATGAAATTTAGAGTAGGAAATTAAATGTTTTAAATTAAATGTTTTAAAATTAAATTAAATTAAATGTTTTAAAAATAGTAAAAATGCTTTAAAAATAAATGAACTTGGTACCTCTAAAATTTAAAAATAAAATGGGCCTTGAGGATTACTGAGAGCCAGATTTAATTACCAGTTCCCCCACAACTAGCTATGCGGTCTTAGGCAAATTCCTGTGCCACTCGGGGCTTCAATAAATGCTAACTTTTTATCATTCAACAGGAAGGAAAGTAAGGAGAGGTAGGGATGTGCAGCCTCAGGGTTACGGTGAAGGCAGATGCAAGGTGATCCTCTGGAGCGAAAGATGCACATCAAGACCACCAGCTAGACTTGGATTCTTAGTCTCTGTCTATTCCCCAGAAGAAGGTGCCTTTCCTAAATATCACACACACAATGGTGCCCCTGGAAACATGATGGGCAGCGGGTGCTGACCACGACCCTCCCATCAGACAGCAACATGTGACCATCCTTATCTCCCACCTATGGCTAGATTTGCAGCAAGAACAGAAGTATTGACAATATTAATGGAACTGAGGGAACACAAGCAAGGATCCCGACGATCAAATCCTAGGCCATTTTCATCTTGCACTGCTCCTCGGGAGGGCCGTTTCTCCCTAGTGCTCGTAAGGCATTAGATGCTTTGAGCTTTGCATTCTCAACAGTGTAATGAAAATAGATGTTGAATGCTAAAACATAAACATATGTATCATTTATAATGCATTCAGATGTTTTTTAATTATTTGTGGTTCCCGAAAGTTATTTGACCTATCATGCATATATATCCAAGCAATGTTTATATTAGAACCACAGCCTCAATGTACGCAATTCCAGCTCCTTGGCATTCCCGTCTACAGAATTAAAATTAAATGAGTCAGTGGTCAATAAAAGTTACATGTGATTTCCATAAAATTATCCATTGTATATTGCTCTGGGGTGGAGAAAGAAGTTTGCATGGCATTGCTGAAGCTGACAGAACACAGAATTCTTGCTTTCTGATGAGGGTGGCAGCAATGATTAGTCTTTGCTAAGAATGAATGCATTATTTCCCTGAATAACTGGTGGTCTTGGACTTGCTCTTCGTCTAAAAAAATTACTCACAGGGCCACCCTCTCTCTCTTCAGTTTAATTCCTATTTTCTTTAAGAAAAAAAAAAAACAGTATTCTGAGCTCAAAAACACCACATTCTTCTGTTTTGATGCTTGCATAAATTTGCATGTTAACATGAATGGTTCCAACTTAAAGCATGTAAAATGAAATGAAATTTGAATTCAAATCCAAGATGGAGAAAAGATACATGTAAAAGCAACAGATTTTCAATCTTGTTGATTTTTTTTTCAGGAACCAGATTAGGAAAGACATAAACACACACACACACAGAGTCTTCTAGTTTCAAAGAGGGGTGGCACTCAGAACAGGTACCCCCGAAGAGCACCCCCCATACACACACGCTAGGAGTATGCATAGATCACAGCGAAAATTATGAAGCTCTGTTTTAATAACTGGATGCCGCCATCAAACTCAGAAACACGACTCAGAGGACATGCTCACTATCACGTTTCTACTTTTGGAGGCCCACCCAGATGAAATGAAATGTAAGGAGCATTGTGTGAGTAGCTCGAGCAGACAAAGGCATGAACGTGCCTCTGCCGGCCCTGAGAGCCACTTCTCACTCCACAATCTGATGTCCCCACTGCACCTGGAAGGCAGCACGGCACAGTGGTTAGGGTCAGTGCGCAGGCTGGGATGGACAGACCCGCACTGGAATCCCAGATCCGCCACCATGCGTGGCAGTGTGACCCTTGGAAGATGACTTACTCTGTGGAAATAACTCTTCAGTGAGTTTTCCCTAGAGTAGTACCGGCCTCATAGATTTTTTTATGAGAATAAAATGAGACAATATAGCGCATTTCAAACAGTGTCTGCATGGAGCGAGCGCTCGATGAGCAAGGTCGCTGCGGGGTGGCTGGTGTGGCGGTGGTCACCGTTACCACGCAGTGTTTAGCTGGTGTCTCTGGAGCCACCAGGCCTGGAACTGTCAACGTGTCTTCCTTCCTCAACCTGCGGCCCATGCTGTGCACGCGGCACCACCCAGCAGAGACACGCAGAGGGAGCCGCCGTGGGCGGGGCCGCTGCCGTGAGCTGCGACTGCAGGACAGGCAGAGATGTGGCGCTCTCCTCTGTCCCTGCGCACACAGCCCTCCTCGCGGCCACGTCTCCCCTCACTCAGGCGTCCAAACACACTGACAGCAGGGTCCCAACAAATAAAGGGAGGACGAGCAACGAGCACCCACGTCTTACCTCGCCGTCACCCGCAGCCGCGCTTGTCTCCAATTTCTGGACAGCCGACCTGCTGCTCTCCTTGAGCATTTTCTCTCGGACTTTGCTTTCGTACTCTGGCCGGGAATGTTCCTAAACCAAAGCGCCAGAGACTGGTTAGTAAACGGGTGGGAGAGCAAGCTTGGCCTGTGTACACTGAAGTCGGGGTTCGGGACTGGACACTACGGTTGGGAACCGGCACACCACACGCGTCACAAGGAGTCGAGACACGGAGACGTAACATCCTAACGTAAGAACACAACGTGGGGGAGAGAAAAGGGAGACACGACACTTGTCATCACACTGAAGCCAAACCTTGGCACGCTCCTGGGGACAGCGCCGGTGTTGAGAAAGAAGAGAGGAAATGTTAATGGACAGCGACACAGAAAGGAGCCACGTGCTTCGCATAGCAGTGTGACCCAAGGCAGAGGGACACATCTGGTCATCCCAACAGTCCTCATACCTCTAACTTTCAGTGAGCCAAATCTCAGCTGGAGAAACAGATGTGCCCCACAGCTGGGAGTTAGGGTGACGGCAAAACGCATTCCCTGCTCCGTCACTCTGTGAGCCACAATGGCGACCAACAAACATCAAAGTCAAAGGCGGCCATGGGGAATCTTAAACCTCACGCGCCTGGGCCTGTTTCCTGTGCAGCCTAGGTGAGTAACTCATTGGCAAGCACACCAGTGCTCAGGAGACATCACTGGGCCAGTCGGCGGTAGGAGCCTGCCTGTGAGTCACCAGGCATGGGAAAGAACCCCTCACTAATCCGGGGGACCTTACAGCAATGCAGATGCTGGGGCCGGAAGAGGCATGACTCACTTCAAAGAGAATTTAACTGTGTACACCTGGCTTCGCTGGCAGGCCTTCCCCTCAGCTTCCAGCTCAGGGACAAATACCTACAGGTGCGAGGACTTCATGTTCCTATGTCATTTACTGATCACTCCTAGGGAGGGATTCAGGTGGGGTTCACAGTGGGCTCTGCTGTTCAGAGAACAAACATTTTCTTGTCACTGCCCCATGTCAAGAGTTCAAAGGCCAACAAGCCAAGCTCCTGAACTGTCTCTGGCCTTCCCAGGCCATGCCGTGACACGGGAGAGAACCATGCACCAAACGTGCACAACCAGTACAACAGCAGGAGATGCCAGCCACGTGTTGTGAAGGCCTTCCATCGTCACCCAGTCTCCGTGGGGACATAGCCCCACCTCTTCCAGGAGGCTTTCTCTGACTGTTGCAATGTACTTACCAGATGGAGTCTCCTTCCTCCCCCAACTCCTGCAGTTTTATATCTCATACCACACATGGTAGCTCTTGCCTATGTGTTTTTCTGTGACTATCTCCTCGCTGCTTTGCATGTGAGCGTCTCCTACCGCGACACAGCACTGGCTACCTGCTCCGCACCACCTGTGCCGCTCCCAGCGGCCGGCAGCACGCAGAGCTCACAGCAATCTCTAAATGCTGCGAAGGGCGTTTGACTCTGTCTTACCTTCATTAGCTCTCCAACACACCATTTCCTGAGCTGTGCACCAAGAGATTTTCAGCTAAAAGAGGATTCCAGAGTCTAGACGTTTGGAAAACACTGCACAATGTTTCACCTTCCTGAGGGCCACAATCAGTATCTTAAAAGCTCTGAGAAGTACCTCTGTGAGGCACTTGGTTAACTTCCTTCAGCCGGCCATCCCCCCCCCCCCAGCAGCTTTTGCCTGGAGCAATTAATGCCCTGCAAGGGATACTTGGAGAGCTGTGATTTCAAGTTCTCCTCCACTGCCCCTGAAAGTGGCTTGCTTTTCTTCTACATTGTTCCAGTGGAAATTTTTAATTTAAAACGGAACAGTATCTTTTGGTGAGCACAGGAATACGGGTTCTAGCCTCTTTGAGCCAGAGGAGCGTCTCCCTGTTCATGCCCCGCAAAGGGGCCGAGGAAGGGCCTCCTAACAGACTAGCAGGAGGTTTCCCACGGCCTCTGGCTTTCTCAGGCTGCGACACACACAGAGGGGTTTGCTTGTATCCCTCTAGGTGTGGCTGTGGCCCACTTGCCCCATGCTGGGCTCAGTTCAGATCCCCTCCTCTTTTCAGAACAAGCCCAGCTTTTTCGGCACACGGACGGGAGTCTGAAACTCACATCAGAGTCAGGCTGCTCTGCGCTTCGGCTGAAGCAAGTCTGACAAGGGTCTCCCTGTCTGCAGCCAGGTAGGCTGGGTGAGGTTACAGAGTCCCTCCAAAAGTGGACAACTGAGCATCTGCCCAGAGCAGAATCTAGACCCCGAGAAGGCTGCCTTGACACCCCCAGCCATGGGCAGATCTGCACTGTTCCCCACGTTCTCCAAACACGACCCCCCTGGATGGGCGATCTGATGCCAAAGTGGCACAAACGCATGGCCCCTCTCACCAAGACCCTGGGAACTGTCTCCCTCCGGTCCGTCTCCCCAGGAGCAGGCAGACAGGAAGAACCTAGGCCTGCTCAGGACCACCTTGGCTGATCCAAAGAGGTAAATCCAGAAATAGGTGCAACAAACGTCTTCCACCAAGAGCCGGCAAGCACCCGCTACGCTCTGAGCTCTTTTCTAGGCACCGAGGCCCCAAGAGGAGGAAGGCAACGGTGAGCGAACCAACCCGCAAGCAGGAAACTACACGGTGAGGAAAAGAGCCATAGAAGAAATAAAGCGGGGTGGCTGCTTCAGACTGGGGAGTCAGGGAGGGCCAATGTGAAGACGGTAACACTTTCACAGGGACAGAAAAGTCAGGAAAGAGCAGACCACACGGAGACTGGGGAAAGGCACTCCGTGCAGTGGGAACAGCCAATGCAAGGACCGGAACGAAGTCGGGAAGAAGGAAGCAGTGGCTGGAAGGTTGTGCAGGGATAGACACAAGCTGAGGCCAGAGAGGCAGGCGGGGGACTGGTTTGCCGTGTGGCGGGAAGCTGCTGAGGACATCCAAAGCTTGCCGTGCTGGGAGAGGGTGGGCGAGAGAGGGAGGGCAGGACACCTGTGTTCAGATAAGCCACCCCAGACTGTGACAGAAGCTAACTAGGCAGAGGCCCCTGAGCTGAAGATCACCACACTTCAGAGAAAATGACCCTGGAGGTCTGGCCTCCCTGCTACAAGGACAGACAGGATCCAGCGGAGTCCTTCAGTAAGCCCCTTGGTGGTGTCCACAGGGCCACCCGTAGGCAAGGGCCGCCCTGGCCCGGTGGGCTGGCTGTCGGGTTTGTGGCTCGCTTCTCCCTGCCCGCATAACATGCAGTCTCCAGCCTTCTCCTGCTTCCCCTGGCTCACAAGCTGGACTTGAGCCCCTGCGCATTCCACCCCTCCTGGGGAGGCCCACGTGTTGGAGTGTGTGTGAGCGGGCACCCTCCCTCCCCCAGCGGGCAAGTGTTTGCTAGTGAAGACCACAGTGAAGAACAACATCTGGAGGTTACCGAACAGCTAGCTAGCCTGGCAAGCACTCCTGACACTGGGAGAAGGTGTCTGGTCAAACCAGAAAAAACCTCCAACCATGGCCTGCACGGCCCCTGCCTCCCTCTTGCTCTTCATGTGAATTCGGGTTAAACTTGCTTCAATGCACAACACTTCGTGGCAGTCCCAGGACCCTTGTTCAAGTCACAGAGACCTTACTGTCCTGCCCCTCCATGTCTCCCATGGCCTAGCAGACGTGGATTAGCAGTAGGGACCCGCCCTGGCCGGCCCCACACTGTCCCTGCATCCTTGTCCCCGCTGCCTCCCAGACCCAGTCGCCTGCAGCCAACTTGGCTTTGCAGACATCTTGCTGCTTCTCACCCACAGCCGTGCCTTCCCAGGTCCAGACGTCTGTGGCTGTTAGCTCCTTGTGGGTGTCCCTTCTTCCCTTTGCTGCCCATTAAAAGTCAACCGCTCTTCAAAACCCTGCTTTTCTTTTTCAGTACTTCCCTTTCCTACATTAGCTAGAGGAATGTCTCCCACACACGCTCCACGCTATTCTAAATACTAACGCCCAGGCGTCACCCTGCTGGATGCAACCTTTGGAGATCGAACACCATACCTGAGGTCGCTGCATGCTCCACACCAAACCCGGCACACGGTGTGTGCTTAATGACTGTGTCCAGAATGTGTGCCAGCCCAAGACAGAAATATGCTAAGAGAAAAGACACACTGTCCTCCCTCTCACTCGTGCCTGGCCCTGGGCCGTGCACATGTGGGCACAACAGCCGTGCCACGGAACCAGCCAGCCCGCAGCAACCTCACACGAGATCCCAGCAGGCCTGTCTTCTGATGCCCGGGCTCGCGGTCTCAGCCAGGCCGCTCTCAGCCGGCACATGAGCCCCTCAAATCATGTACCTCCCAGGAAGTTACCACGGCTCATTGGGTGAAACAGATAAACAGGAAACCTGGCTACAGAAAGAAAAATGGATTATAACCTCACTCCTGCCAGGCGCTCGTTACAGAGATTTCAAGGGTATTGAGTTATAACTCAAGCTTTTCTGTGTGAGAGAATGTGTTTACACTTCCTCTCGAACAGAGAGATTTGAGGGCGTCCTCGACCCTGCTCAGCAGACACACTTGGCTTATCTCTGGCCCCACAAAGGCTTGGATGCCAGGATGGCTCTTCTTCTCTTCTTCGGAGACATCCTAGCCCCTGCTTTCATCAGGAGAGTAGGAACTGCACCCCACCCACCTCCCCAACCACAACTCACTCTCTCTCTCTCTCTCTCTCTCTCTCTCTCTCACACACACACACACACACACACACACACACACACGAGATATATTTCAGCTGAAGCAAACAGGACCAATAGTACAAAGACATCCTAACTAGATCACCCACAGTCTAACTTCTATAGCTCTTTCTATTGGAAGCACCAGTTTGGACATTTTCCTCCAGGAAATACAATTATCTTTATTATCCTCTGTTGCTTTTGTTTCTAGATAATTTGAATCCTGTCTGAAGGCAGAATCCATATGTACATTCTCTTGCCATAGAATCCACGGTGCTGTTAGCCTCAGGGCACATGCGTGACGCCTAGGGCTGAAGCAGAGTGGGTGCACATCCCGGTGCATGGTACTGGAGCAGGGCGGGGTGGAGGGGGGGCAGGGGTGGGATGCAATCAAGTGAAGACCCACAGCAGGTGAAGAAAAGCTCCATCGCCACCTCTCCTCCCAGCGCTTTAGGCGGCTCAACCTGGATTGGCAGGTTCCATTCCATGCAGCTGCTCTGGGGTTCCTGCCACTCCTCAAGCCCACCTGCTCAAAGGTAAGTTGACTAACTAGAGAATTAAGGAGAAGAAATGATGACACGCCACAGACATGGGGACACAAGGCTTGCAAACAAACTGGATTGGTGATTTCACTTCTTGCTCATAAAATGTCAGGGCCACAAAGCCAGAGGTCCTAAGCCCAGGGCAAAGCCCATCGGTCGCTGCAGGGGAGTCTGTGGCAGCCTGTGCACGTGGGCACTCAGGCCACAGAAAGTGCCTCCCGTCACCCACGGCATCCCAGTGGCAGGCACTCCTATCTGACATCCACGTTCAGCCCGTGGTGGCAGGTGGTGTCAGCAGCCCTTGAAGGTGTTAATGGTCAGAACAGCGGGGACTCTCTGAGCTTGAAGGAGGAAGAGGAGGGGAGGGGGGCTGAGCGCCGGGCGCTGCTGTTTAGAGAAGCAGGAGTTATGGTGGGAATAGATAACCTGAGTAACCGCCACACGCTGTCATACACGCACAGTCACGGAGACCGGGGTGCTGATTTGTTTACCCCCTTAGACAGCATCTGCACAGAAAGCTAGACCCTAGGAGGACCTACCCTGTTCCCTCAGCGCGCCCTCCAGGTTCACGCGCAGTGTGCTGGCTTACACCGTAGAGGCCGCGTGGTTCTTTCGTTTTCCACAGGCACCAAAGGCAACAAGCACCTGGCACCCCCGCCGTTTCCTGGCCCCCATAGGCTGACAGAGGCATTCTGACGCAGCCCGCTGTCTGGCTTCATGCTCTCAGGGATACCCTTGCCTCTTTCCCTTGCGTCTTGTGCCATCTCTTTTCCCAGAGCAGGGCACCGGGACGCCTGGCTACCCATAGACCCGACGCCTCCCAGCTCGAGGGAGGAAGGGGACACCTGGCCTCTCGGCCTCGGCGTGCATCAACCCCAGCTCGGCCCGCGCAGCCACGCAAAGCGAGCAGCGGCGGCAGACACGCGAGGCTCTCGCTCAGGATAGCCGTTCCCAGGGTCAAAGCAAAGCCAGGCCCCATGGAAATACGCAGCAGAACTCACTTCTTCCTCCTCTATGCCAGTCAGGTCCCAGAAGTAGCCCAGTCGCATCTGTAGTCTCTTCCAGTTCTCCAGAAACATAGTGGCTTAAAAAGAAAAAAAACTCGATTATTTTTGAAGGGTGGATTCCGAGTACCCTTTGAGTTCGCCAGTGCAGGCGGGAGAAACGTACAGATTTCAAATTTAAGAGCTCTCTTTAAAGCATTCGGCCCCTTTTTCCTACTTCTACCTGGAACAGCTTGAAAGACTCCACATCCCTGAGAGCCAAGAGATCCGTCAGCGACAAACACACACGCACACTCCTTTCCCATCTCCAGGCTCTGAGGAAAGGGCGAACACGGGTCCCAAGAAATGAAGGAAGAGCGGAGGGATGAAGAAAGTGGAAGCGGAGGGGTCTGTGGTCTGGTGACCAGCCTCGCCTCGCCTGTGCACATCCCTTCCTCCCGCACCGCCGGCAGCACTCCACCTTCCTCCCACGTCTTTCTTTCTGTCCCCAGCACCACTTCCCTTTCTGGGCCCTGATCATCCCGTGCTGAGGTTTCACAGCAGTCCTGCCCGACCCCAGGCGCTCAGCCTTGCAACCCTCCTGCGCAGCGGACACGACAGTCTCTGTGAGGCAGCTTGCGCTGTCTGCCATCGCTCAGCGAGTATTTGCAGACTGGCCACCACGCCACACAGCCCTCGTCTGCCTGGGCCACCCACGGCCCCTTGAAGGGCAAGGCCAGCGTGCTCTAGGGACAAGCCCGGCCCCCTTCCCACCCACTACACCAGCGCTGGACTCCTGCCCCAGGGCCTGCCGATGGACCAGTCGGGTTCTCTCTTTAGGAGATTAAAGCTGAGCGACGCGAAGAGAAGAGGCGCGAGAGACCAGCAGCCCCTGAAAGGAAGAGGCTGCGGCATCTGACAGTTCTCAGCCCGCGCCCCGGGGGCCAGGCCACACTTCACCCCCACCCCCGGGAGCTTGCCTCTTCCTTTCTCACAACCAGTCTCTTGCTTTTGAGTGATGTGAGTGAATTTCTAATCCTGCAAAAGCACCAGCCCTGCCTAAGGTATCTGCCTTGTACGAAACACCCTCCCAGACCTCGTGGGGAGACGAGGCGAATCCGATCGGATTTTGCTCTCGGATTGTTCACAGCCTCGGAGGAGAGAAGGTGAATAACTGCACTACGAGACGTGAGGGGGCCGGGGCCTCGAGGGCCGCACGGTCGGCGGCTGTGGGCCTGCGGGAGAGGCGTGGGGCGCCGGCGGGGGCACTGCGCGAGTCCTGCAGAGCAGGGCCCGGGCGGCGCGGGCGGAGCGGGCAGAGGGGGACGGTGCCGCCCGCCTCTGGCCAGTGGATCTTTGTGCTCTACGATTACGTCCTCTACCTGCCAGGGCCGTGTGTGTCTGGCCCGAACCACCTGCCAGTCTCGTCCCACGGTTTGCCAACACTCACACCTGCGTTGCTGCTGGGTCACCTCCTCACCGTCCTCTCCACCCCGCTGTGCAAACAGTCCCCTTCACTTACCTTACTATCCTCTAGTTTCCACCCTCGTCCCCTCCTGACCTGGCTCGAGTCCCCCTCTTCCAGAATGTCAGTCCCCACGGTGCCGCAGCCCCCTGCTGCCCTGTGGTCATGGCGCCTGGAAAGGGGAGAGATGTCACTCCCTGAGGCCGCCCTGCAGCTCCACCCCGCCCTGGCAAGAGCCACACCGCCCTTCGCCACACGCCGTGCCTGACCACTGGCTGGGCTCGCGTCTGCGCTGTGGAAACAGACTGCCAGCGCCTCCCGGGCTCTCGGCTGCCCGTGCCTACTTTGGGCACAACACAGAACTGAGCACGGCAAACACCTGCGCTGGTCGAATACCCAGTTATTAAAGATCGATTTGCTTTACTTGCAGCTCCATTGTGGTGCACTGATCTGTGTGTTTTTCTCCGCGGGATTTGAGGCTGTGTTCACATGAGGGTACTCGGACCCCCAACACTGGCGTTGCCCTGGGGATGCCCTGAGACAAGGGCAGGCCCCTGCTCCTGCCATGCTCCCTCCCACCCCCAGGAGCCTGCGCCCTGCAGGAACAGATGGAGGCAGAGGGGTAGCTGAGTCACAGGGGCAGGGAGGCCTCCACATGCGGGAGGAGTGACCGCCAGTTCCTGGGTGCGCATCTACGCCACGTGCTTTGTGCACACACCTCATTCTCTGTCGCTGTGCCGTGTGCCCAAGGTAGCATGGCGCCTTGGCAACGAGTATACGGCTTTAGTGCCTCATTTACTCGCTATGGGATCCCCAGCTGGTAAGGAGCTAAGACACACAGCTAGCACGGCCTGACCCTAAGTCGCTGTCCTTAACCTCTGCTCAGAAGCCCTGGCCCATGACTTCCCTTTTCAGAGGGGCTTTGCTCTCTCTCCCAACGTTCCCTGGAGTTTGAAGCCAGAACCGCAGGGGAGCGGGGTCTGAGACTCCGACAGACCCTGGTCCTGCTGACTAGGACCCTCCACGATCCCCTGGCTCTGTGGCCACCACGTCTACTGCCACCAACAGCCCGTCTCTCTCTGCATACAACCGCTTCTTCCCAGCCTCATTCCGGGCAGGCCTGGGCCTGGCCCACCCAGCACAACACCACTAATCATAATCATCATGGTAATGAGAGGCATTGCTAGTATTTTTAATTGTAATTTGTAGGCAATCATGCCTAAGGGCTTTTGGCTGCTGTGACCAAGTACACAATCACACAAAATATAGCCAGACCATTTAAAAAACAAAACAAAACCCTACCCTGTGCCAGGAAGCTCTGGCACCATGACACCCTCCCATCTCTTAACGCTTTCCCTGCCCCGTGATGTGCGAGGAGAGGAGCAGGGGCAGGGCAGGGAGTGATCGGGGCTCTCAGCGTGGCGGGAAGGTGTCTGCTCACTGTAGCTGCCGAGGGAAGAGAAGAGGTCGTTTTGGGGACTTGAAACTGGGAAGTACGACTGAAAGCAAACTTTCTCTACACAACGGATTTCGTGTCCCATGAAAGTTCTTGAAGGATCAAAGACCTGGAATTATTAAGCTTCACGTACTCAATGGTGGTATTAATAATATCTGCAAGACAAATTATGAAAATAAGGGCTGTAATATATAAAAAATGAATATGGATTCTGAGTTCCAAATCAGCTCAGACGGATCTTGGGGTCATAACAAGACACTGGACAAGCAGACACAGAGCCGCCTATGACTTCTCAGGCAACAAGCCCCAACTTCAGCTCATCCTACTGACCCTTCCTGTGAATGATTCCAGAGCTCTATGGTTGCAAATCCCGTGTCCTCCTTCTCCTGCTCTGGCATTTGAGGTGCTGCCCACTGCCCCTGTGTCCCTGAAGAGCAGCTGCTCTCTCTAGCAGTAGAGAACAGAGGGTCCCCTGGAAACTTTTCTTGGTGGACCAGTCATGCGGGAATTTTTCCAGTCCAGTTCTGTCTCTGCCCAAGTAGAAGACCACACAGTGCTGGAGGAAGGCTGTGTTCCAGTCTTCCTGGCGCCACTGAGAACAGACCTCTCCCTCCTTCCTCCTTCTCCTCGTACTCTCGGGACTGTATCACTCAGAGTCCACCCTGGTCTGTCCCCAGGCTCAGTGGAGTCAGAGATAGACCCAGCAGCTCTGCAGCAGGGCTGTGGTCCTGCTACACTGCAGTCCCAGGGGAAAGCGAAGGGCACATTTGGTGGTGAACAAAAAGCAGGTGGCTGGCTACTCAGGTGGGCTGTCACATGTTGACTCGGTCCCTAATATACATGGGTGTGTCTTCTTAGAAATGTTCAGTTGCCATGGGGTGGTCATTCCACCTTATTCCAGTTTGTGAGAATAGGAGAGAGACAGAGAGAGAGAGAGAGAGAGAGAGAGTGTGTGTGTGTGTGTGTGTGTGTGGTCAGATGCTACTACAGCATGGGGCAAATTTATTGTGCTGACATTACACTGATACTCTAGGGGCAAGGAAAGAGGAGGAAAATGAAGGAACTATCTGTTCTTTCCTTCACAGATCCCTTTGGTGGAAATATTGAAAACACTACTCTGGCTCTAAATAAAACCTCCACAGTCAGCACTCACAATGTCCTAAAAATATCAAGAGCACTGAACCTGGAGTCGGGAAACCAGACTTCAGCCCACTTTTACCACTAGCTGACTCTGTGACCACGGCAGTCTGTCTGCCACTCGGTTATACCACATGGCATAGAGGGTCTTACATAACTAAGTGAACGTATCTGGAAGTATCTTTTGGGTTTGCCAGGGGAGTTCAAAACATGCATTGGTTCAAATTTTGCATAAATGATACGCAAGACTAGTACAGGGTTAACACGACTATATCTAGGAGAAAACAGATAAAGCCATGAAGGACATTCCTATTTCTATTCACACGTATGAGTAAAGAAGAGAAAGGTACTGTCCCTAACATACATCTTAGGATATGAAGAAAAAAATGCCAAAGTAAACTGAAGGGTATGAGCATTAGGGCTGAGTCACTGCCCCCACTTGAAGGCACCACCCCTACAAGCAAGCCTCAGGCTGACCACTTACCCCACAGAGCCATGAAGATGGAGAAGAAGACGGTGGCAGGGTTGTCAAACAGGTGGCTGGCCCGCGCGGTTCCACAGGCCGAGCTAAGGTTCCAGTAGTCGCAGGATTTGTCACACAGCGGACACATGGTGAAGGCGTTCTGCTGGTCACACATCTCTCTACTGCGACAGACAGAAGCTCCAGGTCAGACAGACCTGGAGCAGGGCCCAGTGCCAGCAAATCACCCCAAAACAGCTCCCATTTCCAAATCCATGCTTGGGTTTGCCAACTCCGCAAGGAAGGAATGTTTAAGAAGTTGGGATTGGATTCTCCACCTAGAGAGTGTGACTCTTACATTTTGTCCAAAACAAACAAACAAACAAAAAACGGATGGGCCCTCTTCTGAGGTATGGAGTTTCCTGTCACTACAAGTGTCCCAGAAAGTTGGTGACCATCTGTCAGAGATATTATGCATTGAATTGTGCCTTATGAAGTCCCTTCAAAATGTCCAAAGTCTGTGAGATTGGTGAGATGCAGCAACAGTTGTGAATAAGTCACCAGCCTGAAGTTGGATGTCATCATCCATCCTTCACTCACAGCCTGTCTTCCTAAACCCTACTGTCTGTCCCACAGGGGGTGGAACTGGCCACAGGGGCAGACAAACATGAGGGTCTGGCTGGGCCTGTCACCTCTTGAAGCAGCAGCCAGGTGAGGAAGGACAGATCTGGGTAGGAAGCCATTTTCTGGGAGCATCGGCTGTCTGGCCATGTGTAGAATGGAGATTAGTGAACTCAATCTCATAAGAATGGTTATAACCATAAAATGGCATACGGGGAATAAAAGCACAAGGTAAACTCTTCCAAGGTCTAGATTCTCCAACACTCGGAGAGAGAGCCATGCACTAAATAGTCTCTCCTGGCCTGTACCCTAAGCTATTCCTAGCACGATACATTTCTATTTGGCAGACAGATAAATGCATGTGAAATTCCATTCATTCGCTAGGCGACTAGCTGGATCACAGGGACACTTGCAAATGAAAACCGAAGAATCGCCAGCCTGCCTGGCTTCCCCAACAACCTTTCATACCACATATGAAAATGGCAGGAAAATGCACAAACTCATCACTCTGGCACGTATTATTTCTCCAGGGAAATGGGTGGATGGCTACGCTCATGGTTCGGGGGGACAGGATGGAGAACTCAAGAGTTCGTGAAAATGCAGCATCTGCTGTTCTCACAGAGCAGAAGGGTGGGGACGCAGAGGTCCTGCACGGAAAACCACAGCCGGGTCTTCCACTGACAGGCAGTAGAGGGCGCTACACGGCACGGTTGACAGGCGGGGGCGCTTCCCCGGTGAGCCCCCTGGTGCCCTGTGCGCTGGAGCAAGTGCTCACGTGGAACCTGTGACATCAGAGGAAGGCACGGGGCTGTTTCTGTCAAGTCCTAGTCTCCAGCCTTCTGTTTTCAGTGAGCGACTAGGTCCCCCGCAGGGAGGGGCTTCTGTGTGAGGATGGGAACTCCAGGTCTCTGAGGACAAGTCCCAGGTCCCCGCTGACTTGCGCTGAGCTCTCCATCGGCACACGTCAATGCAAATGACTCAGTCGCATAGAGAGTATTAAATAGTCACGTGTTAATCATACGGCCAGCTGTACTAGTTTCACCTGGGCATGCTCTTACTAGCAACTAGAGAGCACAGTTTGTGTCAAATCTTCTGGGTCATTCTGGATAAGTGTTCGCTCTGTAGTTGAGGAGGAATTGCTACTTTCAGAGAAGAGAGTACCCTCTTAGAAAATAGATTGACACAGAAAATTGTTCATCTGCATAAATTCTAGTAAAGAGCTGTGCTTTTCAGCCATGACTAAGAATGTAGGCAGGTGTCCCTCAGGGCTACCCTTCCACTCTGTGTGTTAGGGACCTCACTGTCTTCAGGATTTTTTAAAGCATGGACTAGGGAGAGAGATACTCCTAGATGACTGAATTTTAGTTAAATCTAGTCAATGCTAAAAGGTCAGAAATGAGAAAAGTATGAGCAGCCAACTTGGTGCAGAGCACTTTGATACGTAAGTGCTGTATAAATGATTCGTCTTTAAATTAGAGTGCGGGCAGCTATCAGTCGCTTGTGCAAAAGGGCAGCCATTCTCTGTCACATGAATTCTCCTCAAATCTCTTAAATTTGAAGCCAGAATGTTTTTTAACATATTAGGGTTTTTAACACAATTTGAACAGAATTCTGGAAGCATTCTGACCATGAATGACATTAAATGACTCTGTATTTCCTCTCGACAAGCTGACAGATGAGGGAAGCCCACCTAGAACTGAAATCACGACTGGGTTACTCTAGCTACACAACCCACAGATTTCCAGTGGGAAGTAACTGTGGCTATAGATCTAATGGTGCATTTCTTCAAGCTGTTGTTTTCTTGGGAAGGCGTAAGAAGGTTAGTAAATGGCCTGACAATCAGCTGGACCGAGACCCCAAAGTGAACAGTGACCTTCAGCGTGAACCAGCGCTCACCCATCAGGCTAGGTGACACTGGGCTGTGCTAGCACAAAGGGAGACGGAACAAAGAGGCAATTAACCAGGAAATTCAGACAAAAGAGCTGCTTTGAAGGTCTCAGACCTAAAGCACCCAATTTTTTTTACAATGTGGTTTAGATTAATCAGTTTTTTTTAAATGTCTCAATCTTCTTTACCCGTGGAAGTAAGGGCTTCACAAATGAAACCAATCCCCTGGTAAACAGAGGACAGTTCTATAAATGTATCATGCACACATGCTCATATCTCATATATCAAAGTTAGTTGGAATAAAAGGCACCATTTAAAGTCCCCCATAATCAATATCAATGTTCCAGTTTTGCTATTATACTACAGTTAGACAAGGCTTAACCCCTGGAGGTAAGGAGATGAAGGGTACACTGGGGCCCACTGTATTATCTTTGCAAATTCCTGAGAATCTATAAATTTTTCAAAACAAAAAGTTTTTTTTAAAGTGATAGTACATTTCAGGCTTGATGTCAAAATTAGTAATCTCTAAAGTAATCCCAGAAATAATGCAAATTTTTAATCACACTTAGGAGTGGATGAGAGACACAGGCTCTTACGGAGCATGAATTTCTTCAAAGTCAATACTGGGATTTAGGGAATATGCCTTTGTTGAGGAGGAGTGGTATTTTGTGAGTTTCCATCAGGCCCATAGAACTTGGACTTTTGATGAATATACAATTATGTTTAAAGAATAGTTCTTTTTTTAAAAATCTACATAAAATGTTTACTTTTTTCTATTGCTTACACCTTCCTGATTTGCGATACCCTATCCTGAGTATGAAAATACAACGACCAAAACTTCAATTTTGTAGCAGTCGATTTCAAACTGTTTTATCTCTGGTCTATAATTTGGAAGAATTTTATTCCATCAGATTCCAGTATGCAAATATATACACACCCTCCCCCTCACAGACACACTTACATAGCTGAAATAAAATCTCATGAAACAACACTTACCTTCCTTCTTGTAACAAATACTAATATCTTTTTTCATCCTATCCTCTTCAGTACTCTTACTTTATTTCATTTAAAAAATAACCCATTGACTTGATTCCATAACCCACCAATGGGTTGCTATCCACAGGCTGTAGAACACTGTACACCCTGACAGGCAATACGAAAACTGCAATAATAATTGCATCTTACATATGTACATCACTGCACACGTATAAGCGTGTGAGTGTGGGGTGTGCGTGCCTGTGTGTACATAGCTATCTCTGCAGCATGTGCAGGCCACGACATTTCCAGCTGTAGTGGTTGTTGCCATGTGTATTCCCACGTGAGGAAGCAAGCATAAGTTCTAATTCCTGACATAAACCAGCACCCTGATGCCCACTCACTGCTTGCCTATGCATGGTACCAGGTTTCCCAGTTTTGATCAAGCTGAAGCCAGATCTCCAGGGATCACAACTGGGAAGGGAAACCCAAGAGCCATGTTTGCTGAGAACATACCCAGGCAAGCCTAGGTGAAGCTACTGAGCTGTCAAAGAGGACATGAGCCCTCTGGAAGATTTCACTGCTTACAAGAAAAAGCAGAGACTTTGGAGCAGGAAGCAACAGAGTTCAATTCCCAACCCTGACAATTAGCATTTTGGGAGGCTGAGGCAGGAGGATTGCATTGAGGCAAAGAAAGCATTTCTCTGGCATGCTACCAGAGAAATGTGGCACCTACCCACATCAGACCTTGGCCCCAATGCCATACCCAGAATCTTCAGCTCCTAGATCTGTCTCCTAGATCTGAAGAAAAGTTATATACATCATAGGGAAAGAAAAGGATAGAGGATGCGGACTTTGGAAGGAAGCGTGTGAAATGTGCTTGCAACTGGGATGAAACTCCAAATTATTAACACATGGGAATTGAGGCTTTCTCTTAAAAACTGACTTACCTGGGAATATCTTCTTCAATTGTTGCACATCCATAAAGAAAAACGATCACCCCGATTACAGAAGATGGGATGAGGAATGATGTATATAATCCCAGCCAGGCAAAATACAGTCCGATTTTTTCTCCAAAATATTTCCTGGGAAAGAAAGAAAGAAAAGAAAATGAAACACATCAAAATTATATACTCTCCTTATTTCTGTTTGTTATATGCCTAAGGATGGGTCAGCATAGATATTCATTCTTCTTGTAATGAATGCAAACGGATAGAAGTCACAAGGGGAAGGGGAGAGCCTTAGCCCAAGGAATCAGCAACGGGCCTTTTCTAAAATGAAGTGCATTCCATTGGCATCGCATATACACACCTGCCTCAGATGCTCATGTGACAAAGATAGCTGCAAAAAGGAATCCAGCCCTAACAGCAAACTAAAAATATGTCATAAATTTTGGCATCTTTACCAAAAACAAACAACACATCATCACTTCGTAAGTGCCATAGTACTCAACCCACAGGAAAACATACGCTTTTGCAACTGGCTTATTTACACAAATCATGTATTTAGGCATGTATACTTAGATATGCAGACCTACATACATACACACACTCACTGAAAAATTGTTAGAAGAAATCCAATAAAATATTAGTAATGGCTTCTTGGAATGACAGGATTATGGGTGGTTTTTACTTCTTTATTTTTTAGACCACTTTATTGAGGTATGATTGACATACAAAGAGTTATGCACATTGAACATACACAACTTGATGAGTTTGGAGATAAGTATACACCCGTGAGACCATCACCACACTTAGGCCACAAACTTATCTATTACCTGCAAGTTTCCTTTTTCCCCCACCCCTGTTTGTTTAATTAAAATTTTTTTTCTCTTGTGTTAAGAGCAATTATCATAAGATCTATCCTCTTAGCAAATTTTTAACCATACAATATTATTAACTATTGGCTTTTCATTGTACAATAGATCTCCAGAGGTTATTCATCTTGCCTAACTGAAACTTTATAGCTTTTGATCAACATCTCCTCCTTTTTCCCTTTCTGTAGCCCCCTGGTAACCATTATTCTACCCATTGGTTCTAGAGTTTGACTATTTTAGATTCCTCACAGAGGTGGGATCATGCAGTATTTGTTTTCTGTGTGTCTGGCTTATTTCACTTAGCATAATGTGCTAGGATCCAGCTACCTTGTCACAAATGTCAGGATTTCCTTCTTTTTTAAGGCTGAATAATATGCTATTGTATGTATATACCTCATTTTGTTTATCCATGCATGCATTGATGGACACATAGGGTGCTTCCACCCTTTGGCAATTGTGAATAATGTTGCTATGAATATGGGAGTGCCAATATTTCTTGGGAATCCTGACTTCAATTCCTTTAAATGTATATCCAAAAGTGGGATTGTTGGAGCAAATAATTTGTTGAGGAACCTCCATACTGTTTTCCATAGTGGCTGCACCAATGTACCTTCCCACCAGCAGTAAAGAAGGGGTCCCTTTTCTCCACATTTTTGACAATACTTGTCATATTTTGTTTTTTCACAATAGCCATAAACAGGCGTGACATGATATCTCACTATGGTCTTGATTTGCACTTCCTTGATGATTAGCGATGCTAAACACCTTTTCACGTATCTGTTGGCCATATGTCTTCTCTGATAAAATATCTAATTAGGGCCTTTGCCCATTTTTTCAGTCGGGTTATATTTTCTGTGGGTTTTGTTTTTGTTTTGTTTTTGATTTGCTATTGAGTTGTAGGAGTTCCTTGTATTTTTTGGATATTAACTCCTTACTAAATATATAGCTTGAAAATATTTTCTCTCATTCTGTAGATTGCCTTTTCACTTTGTTGATTGTTTGCTGTGTAGAGCTTTTTGGTTTGATACAGATATATCTATTTTTGTTTTTGTTTCCTGTGTTTTTGGTGCCATATCCAAGAAATCATTGCCAAGTCCAATGTCTAGAAGAGTTTTCCCTGTTTTCTTCTAAGAGTTCTATTGTTTCAGGTTTTACATGTAAGTCTTTAATCCATTTCAAGTGCTTTGTTTTGGTATGGTATAAGATAGGGGTCCAACCTCATCTTTTGCATGTGGTCATCCAGTTTTCTTAAAATCATTTATTGAATAGTAGGTAGTATGGACATTTTAACAATATTAATTCCTATGATTCATAAACATGATATATTCTTTCATTTGTTTGTATCCTCTTTAACTTATTTCATCAATGTTTTATAGTTTTCAGTGTGTAAATTTTATGTTCTTGGTTAAGTTTATTCTTAGGTACTTTACTCTTTTTTATTCTATTATAACTGGGATTACTTTCTTAATTTTCTTTTCAGATAGGTTAGTGCATAGAAATGTAACTGAATTTTGTACATTGGTTTTATATTCTGCAACTTTACTGAATTTATTAGTTCTAAAGTTTTTTGTAGATGTTTTAGGGTTTTCTATAATATATACAATGTCATGTCATCTGGAAACTGAGACAATTTTACTTCTTCCTTTCCAATTTGGATGCTTTTTATTTCTCTTTCTTTTCTAATTGCTCTGGCTAGTACAGCTATGTCAAATAGGAGAGGTGAGAATGGGCATCTTGCCTCGTTCTAGATCTTAGAAAAAAACCTTTTTTTTCACCATTAAATATGATGTTAACTATGAGTTTTTCATAAATGACTTTCACTGTGTTGAAGTAATGTCCTACTATATCTAATTTGTTGAGAGCTTTTACAGTGAAACAATGCTGAATTTTGTCAAAATTTCTTTGTGTCTATTAAGATGTTCATGTAATTTTTATCTCATGCTACTAATGTAGTGTATCATGTTGATTGTTTTGCATATGTTGAACCATCTTTGCATCCCAAGGATAAATCCTACTTGGTCGTGGTGTATGATTTTCTTAATGTGCTGTTGAATTTGATGTACTAGTATTTTGTTGAGAATTTTTGCATTTATGTTCATTAGGGATACTGTCTTATAGTTTTCTTTTCTTATAGTGCCTTTGGCTGGCTTTGGGATCAAAGTGGTGTGGGCCTAAGAATGAGTTTGGAAGTTTTCCCTCTATCTAGTTTTTGGAGGAGTTTAAGAAGTATCAGTATTAATTCATCCTTGAATGTCTGGAAAAATTCACCCATAAAACCATCTGTTCCTGAGTTTTTCTTTATTGGGGGTATTTTTATTACCACTTTAGTTTCCATATTTGTTATTGGTCTGTTCAGGTTTTCTATTTCTTCTTGATTCAGTCTTACTAGGTTGTATGTTTCCAGGCATTTATCCATTTCTTCTAGGTTATCCAATTTGTTGATGTATAATTGTTCATGATAATCTTTTAGAATCTTTTTATTTCTGTGGCATCATTTGCAAAGTCTCCTCTTTCATTTCTGATTTTATTTGAGTTTTCTGTTTTTAATTAGTCAGTCTGGGTAAGGTTTTATAAATTTTGTTTATCTTTTCAAAAAACAAACTCTTAGTTTCACTGTTTTTTATTGTTTTTTTCTATTCTCCTTTTTATTTATTTTGGCCCTAATCTTTATTATTTCCTTCCTTCTGCTAATTTTGGGCTTAGTTTTTTCTTCTCTTTGTAGTTTGTTGAGATATAAAGTTAGGTTGTTTATTTAAGATCTTTCTTCTTTTTTAATATAGGCATTTGTCACTATAAACTTCCTCTTACTATGGCTTTTACTGCATCTTATAAGTTTGATGTGTTCTGTTTTCGTTTTTGTTTGTCTTAGATATTTTCTAATTTAATTTTTGATTTATTCTTTGACCTAGGTATAGTATTTTTGGTTGGCAGTTTTTTCTTTTAGTACTTTGAATACATAATCCCACTCTCTCCTGGCCTGTAAAATTTCTGCTAAGAAATCTTCTGGTAGTCTTATATGGGTCACTTTGTATATAACAAGTTGCTTTTCTCTTGCTGCTTTCAAAACTTTCCCATTTATTTTGGAGAATGTAATTTTAAGGTGGTGTTAACCCCTTTGGATTCAACTTATTTGGTTACCTTGAGACTTCATGAATCTGGACGTTCATTTCTCTATATATATTTGGGAAATTTTTAGCCATTGTGTCATTCATTACACTTGTTTTCTCTTTCTCTCTCTTTTCCTTTTGAATCTCCCATAATTCATATATTGGTTCACTTGATGGTGTTCCACAAGTCTCCTAGGCTTTCTCCACTCTTTCACTTTTCTTTTTTCTATCCCTTGGATAATTTCAAGTGACTTGTCTTTAACTGTAGTGATTCTTTCTTCTGATTGTCTGCTGTTGAATCTCTCTATTAAATGTTTCAGTTTAGTCATTGTATTCTTCAGTTCCAGGAGTTCAGTTTGGTTCTTTTTTACAATTTCTATTTTTTCATTGAACTTCTCATTTTGTTCACATATTATATTCCTGATTTTGTTTAGTTGTCTACCTATCTTCTCCTGTAGCTTATTGAGCCTGTTTAAGATGATTATCTTTAATTCTTCGTCAAGCAGATGTGGATCTCACTTTCTTCATGGTAAGTTACTAGAGCTTTATTATATTCCATTACATAGTGTCATGTTTGCTGATTCTTTGTGATCCTTATAGAATTGACTTGTTGTCTGTGCATTTGAGAGGTAGTCACCTCTTCCAGTTCTTACTGACTGGTTTCAGTAGGTAAAGACCTTCACCGGTCATGCTGGTCAAAGATTATATGTAGGTCAACTGCCAGGGTCTATAGGCACGCCAGTTGGCAGTGTCTGTGGGAAGACCTAAGCCAGGGTCTGAGGTGTATCTGCTGCCATCCTCCACAGATGGGCCTGCTGCAAGAATCTGGGGGTGATAGGTCTTTGGGAAGGTCTGCTGCCAGGGCCCATGAGTGAACTGGGCTTATTGTGCACAGATGGCCAGTGCTGCTGTTGGGACCCACATGCAGGTAGGGCAGCATTCAGATTCCATGGGTGGGCAGAGCTGCTGCTGGGTCTGTGGGAGAGTGGGTGAATCTGTCAACAGGTCCCCTGGTCTGTGTCAGTGGTCATGCCACTGGGAACACTAATGAGCAGGGATCTGTACATGGGCAGGGTTACTTCTGGACATGTGATTGAATAGGCAGAGCTGTCACTAGTCTTCAGGTGAGTGATGCTTCTTGCAAATCCATGGTTGCTGGGTC